TTCTTCTTCTTTTTTTTTTTCATACCATGTCCTCTCTCATTTTGGGTAACAGGAAAAGAAATCTCGTTGGGATGTTGGTGGGAAAAGCGGCATGATTCATTGCCGCCATGAAGGAAACGTAACAAGCTCGGATGCCGCGAACCCACAAATGGTTTGTCTAAACATGGTGCTGGGAAGGGGCAGAATACGACAGTTATGGACAGGTTAGAAGGCTTGGACAGCATAGAAGGCCGGGAAGAATATAAACCACAGACTGGGAGACGATAAAGTAGTAGACGTGCAGCATGATTCTCATTATTCACCCATTCTTCAGGAGAGATGCGCGAATTTACCATAGGATGACATCTCGAGTCTCGCCTCGTTGACAATACACAACTACCTTGACGACGTGAAAAGAATGAACATGATATATTTTGGTGTTTGCAGCCGCCAATACTTTTCCCTGCCCCCGTCCTTCCCCCATTAGGATGAGTCACAATGTTGTTTTACTCTACTTTACATGCGCCTTTTTCGGCATGTCCATCCACTGCCCGCCTGAAGCAATAAGCTTCTGATGCCGTGCTTTCCCTATTCTCGGCCCTCGACCGCCGTCCATGTATGTATACAATAATACAAAAAAAAAAAACACCAAATGTCGGTATTTCAAGCGAATAAACAGCGCGGCCAGCTCCCACTCTCGATTCACCGACTCACCCTCCGCAGCCAACGCCCCCCGCGGCCCAGCAACAGCGACTGCTAGTCGTATCGCCGACTGCTCGCGCGGTCGTCGTCTCCGTCGCCGTCGCGGCCCACCGCGGGCGCCGCGTCGCTGCGACGGCTGCCGTCCGTCGTACGCCGACCCTTGCGACTTCCGACGCTATCGGTGCCGTCCTCGCCGCCGCCGCCGCCGCCACGGCTTCGTTTCGTGCCGCCCCCGCCACCACCACCAGTAACCACGCTGGCCATGCGCTGCGCCTCTTTGAGCAGACGCTCGCGGTTACGCGCCTCGCGCTCTAGCGTGTGCGGGTCTTTTGCTGTGCTGCCGCTACCGCCCCCGCCGCCATTGTGACTTGCCTCCGCAGGTGTGGGGATGCCATCCGCCGAGTGCTTCCTATCGTGTCTGCTCTCTCGGTCACGGTCGCGGTCTCTGTTGCGGTCTTTGCGCTCGCGACGATCCTTATCACGGTCCTTGTCACGGTCCCTGTCGCGGTCCCTGTCGCGATCCCGATCCCGGTGTCGGTCACGACGGTCGCGATCCCGGTCACGGTCGCGGTCGCGATCACGGTCCTTATCCTTGTCCCTGCGCCGCGAGTGGTCGTGATCACGGTCCCGGTCCCGGTCCCGGTCCCTGTGCGATCGGTGGCTGCTTGACTTTTCATCGCCGCGATGCCTGTCCTTGTCGCGATGGCGATCCGAGTCTCTCTCGCGGCGGCTGTGGCGGCTTGTCTTCTTAGCTCCATCCTCGGGGGAGGCCGACCTTGATCGCTCACCGCCGCCGGTGGTACCCTTTTCGTGTTGCACCTCCTCGTCGCCATGCCGGGAAGAGTGCTTGCGGCTCCTGTGCTTTCTACTCCGGCTGTGCGAGTCATCGTCGTGGCGGTCGCCGTCGGCCGTCTGCGAGCGTTCTCGTGTGCGCCGACGCGAGCTTTCGTCTCCCCGACTGCGACTGCGACTGCGACTATGCCCTCTACTAGTCGCGCGAGACTGTGCATATGAGTTGTCGCGATCGGGGTTGCCTTGTGCCGATCTGCGGTCAGCGCCCTCGATGTCACGCTCAGCGTCATCACACTGAGATCTACTCTGGCCATCAGCAGAGCCCTCCGCAGCACCGTCGCCGACCTGGTAGCCCCTTGCACGCAGGTGGTGCAGACTGGTATTTGGAAGACCTTGGCGCATAGCTTTTGGGCCTGTCGGAGCATTTACAGGCACATCGGCAGGCTGACTACCTTCCTTGTCTTGGTTCACACTGTGGGCGTCACCTTGGTAGCTCGCCTGTGAAAATGACTGGGCAGTACTGTCAATCTGGCCTTGCTGCATTTGACCTTGACCGTGATAATTGGCACCTTGCTGGAAACTGCCACGACCGTATCCCCCATAGTATCCGCGGCCACGACCACGGCCACGATAATTGTGCTGACGATAGTTATTATATTGGCCATAATTACCTTGATTGTAGCCTGTCTGGAAGCCAGAATTAAAGTTTCCAAAATCACCAGTGTTCATACCAGCGCCATTTTGATTGAAATTATTCTGGTCGAAATTCCATGACTGAGAACCGTTCCAGTTATTATCGTAGCCGCCTCCATAATTTCCCATGCCGTTCATGCCCATGCCTTGAAAGCCTCCATTCATAAACATGTTTTGCATCATAGGGTCCATGTTCATGCCCGGCATGCCTCCTAGACGTGGTGTTAGCACCGGACCTCTAGTCATTGGTTGACTCCACATACCCATCATCGGAAAGCCCATGTTGCTCTGCATGGCCATCATCATCTGCATTTGGTTAAAGTCGCCACCCCCAGGAAACAGTTGATTTGCGAAACCGTTTCCGAGTGGCAGCTGTCCATCCCCGTTTCCAACTTCGCCCTGGCCGTCTCCCTCGACCTCTTCTACCTCTTCATCATCTTGAGGATGTTGCTCTGGCCGCTTCGTGGTGATGACGACGTCGTCGTCCGAATCGTCCGCATCGTCATCATGCTCCTCGTCGACGTTGTTGCCCACGTCGGCTACCTCTCGTTGAGCGTCAGAGGCTTCGTGCTGCTGTGGAGTATGCTGTGCTCGTTAGCATAAAAAGCCGGCATAAAACCATGATGCATCAAGCTTACCTCTGTTTCAGCCTGTGCCACATCAGGGACGGATACTGTTGAGGGGTTACCGGCGGCAGCAGTCGAATCTCGCGCTCCGTTAACAGACGCTCTGTCGGCGCCTACTACTTGGCCTTCGTCGGAACTGTGCACTGGAGCAGCTTCAACTGGAGTTTGGGAAGCCGGCTCTGGAATGTCCTTGACCTTGTTTACTTCTCTTTTCTTCTCTGCGGTGCGAAGAAAGACCCGGATCGTCGTACGCAGCGATTTGTTGGGTGTGCAATCATCGGCAGAGAGCGGCGAGTGTTCGCAAACTGGACAGGACGAGGAGAGACTCGAGTGACCTGAGGGATCAGTATTGTGTTTTCTGACCAGACTGCAGTTTAGCTACTCACATGATTCACAGATTGCTTGTTCACAGCAGGGCAAACGGAATGCGTTGACAGCAAGCTTGCTGCAATTTGCACATCGCAGTTTGTGAGGGATGTCGTCAGTAGTCAAAGAGCTGTCGCGAGTTAGTGATAGTGAATCAAACAAATCGCGTCGGAAAGCCTACTTGATAAGCGCAGCCTGCGCCTCTGTGATGGAGGATGCCATGTTGCGATCAACCGAAGTGGGAGAAAAGATAGCTTGTAATTTGCGCCGGTGATCGGAATGGTAGTAAAGAGGCAAAGAAATTCTGTAAAATGATACGCCCGAGGCAAAGAAGCCACGTCGATGGGAAAACAGCCCTCCTTTATAGACACATGAGGTCGGTGATACAGTACACAATTTGCTGAAAATTGGGCACAAGCAAAACGATAGTTAGCCTGCAGACGCATCTAGAGGAGTTTGACGCGGTACAGACCAAAAGTGGGCCGATAGTGGATGGCTGCGGATTGGCTTCCGCGCAAGTCACACCAGTCACGTGCAACCCTCTTACAGCTCTGCGAGAGTGCAAAGCAATTCTAAAGAGGTTCGACAGTGAGAAGACGGTTGATTTGATAGTATTTTGTGACTGAATGTTGGTCAATTACTTAGTACCTATTCTTGTTCTCTTGGCACTGACTGACAGCACTTTGCTTGCGCAAGTGTCATCGATATCGCTCCACAGCGCTCCGACGGCGGACGATGGCTGCATCTGTTTAGAATCGTACGGCCTCGAATCTATTGTTTCATTGATTCGAGCGCCCCGTGAGTGCTGGCCAATACTCTCATGTTTGACAGGAGCACGACATAACGCTGTGTCCCAATAGTCCATTGGGAACGAGACTTGGCCACATGCATGCTCCGCTCGGCGTACATCCTTGTATCACACGGTGTATTTAGCTTGTTCTCTGTTCTATTACGTGCACATGTATGACGGTAACAAACAAAATGAAACAGATATTGGCTCACCGTACCGGGCTAAGTAGTTCAACATCTAAGGTAAGTACGGAAACAAGGCAACTAAACATACTCATGATCCCGTAAAATTAAAATTCGACTCCAAAAGCATGCGCTGAGGCATCATGGTCTGACCATTAACAAAGCTGTGCGATAAAAGACGTCCTGAAACAAAGCCTGCTGGGAACAAATACGACTGCTCAACAAGCACATCCATCCTTCGACCCGGCCTCTTGCGCATTTCCGAGGTTGACTCTCTGCTCATCTCCGGGGCGACTGGCCGTGTTGGTGGTGCCGGCGCCCCGCGCGCTCTTTAAAGAGGTCTCTGGAATTGCGTTGGCAATGGCTGTGAACACCTCCGACACATTCACACCAGTCTTGGCACTGGTCTCGAAAAACAGCAAGCTCTCCTCTTCCGCGTAAGCCTTGGCTTCATCTGTGGGTACCTTGCGGGCGTCACCCGAGTCGTCGCCGTCGTCGCCATTGTCGCCGCTGGCAGATTCGCTCGCAAGATCGAGCTTGTTGCCGACGAGCGCGATCACAATTCCAGGAGAAGCTTGTCGTTGCAATTCAGCAACCCAGTGCTTAGCTTTGATGAGCGACGTTGGTTTTGTGATGTCGTAGACAACCAGAGCAGCCTGCGCATTTCGGTAGTACATGGGGGCAAGGGAGGCGAATCGTTCCTGACCAGCGGTGTCCCAGATCTCGAACTTGATGGTCCGCGTAGGCAAGTTGCATTTTTGGGTCAAGAATGCCGCTGAATGAGTTGTTAGGCGTGTATGTATAATGATAAGGGAGATGCCACTTACCACCGATGGTGGGCTCTTTATTTTCCTGGAAGTCGTTGTTGACGAAACGCAGGACCAACGAAGACTGTTCAAATTAGTATTTATTGATTAGGACAGTAGCAGTTACATATTAATCACCTTTCCCACGGCCGCTTCACCGAGAAGCACCAGCTTGACGCTGCTGCTGGGCTTGGGACCATTTGCAGAATCAGCCATCGTTGCAGGATCGTCCGACAGGCGGGCAAATGTGTCGAGCGTCGTCCGAATGTATAGGCAAAGCTAAAGCGATGAAATTCGAGAGAGGAGTTGCGGGTTTTCGGATGCAGATGAACGGCAGTTGCAAGGATAGCCTTCCGTCGCAAGTCGTGGATGTCGTGATGATAGGCGCGAGAAGGACAGAGGCTGAGGAGCGATGACGACTGAGCGAGTGTTTTGCGCTGGGCATCATCCAGCGGAAGCCCAGCCACATGTCCACAGCCACTACAAGTGGCGGGGCAGAAGCAGGCTTCCATCTCAGAACTTCGGCAGAAAGTTGGCCCATTACCGTGGCTTGCAACCTAGGCCCCGCCAAAAAGTTTCGAGCGGCAGAGAATGCAGCTGTAGAAAAAAAATACCCAAAGCGGTGGACCGTCTGGGCGCATACAATCAAGCAAGCTCTCGAACTCAAAAGCCCTACGTTTCGGCGCACAATTTGCTTCAACGACCCGGATTCCCGGTGGTATCGCTTGCATCTATGGCACCTTTAAAGGAGTCAAAGGCAGCAAAGCACAATTTGCTCGATGACTCGGATGCTAACTCCGACGATGGCGGGACGGCCGAGTCTGGCTTCAGAGTAAACGAAGAGTTCGCTCGTCGCTTTGAACACAACAAGAAGAGAGAAGAAAGACATAGACGTACGAATTTTTCCTTCTAGAATTGATATGACGAATAGCTAACACACTACACAGTCGAAGAGAAATTCAAAAACGACCAAGAGGATGATGAAGACTCTTCCGACGATGAGACCGAGGACGAAAATGGATTCTTGGCGACTGAAGATCTCGACGCCCAGATTTCCGCCACTCTACAAGCTATCAAGAACAAGGATCCCCGAGTCTATGACAAAGACCAGACGTTCTATAAGCCCGAAGACCATACTGCCGACACCAAGAAGGACAAGAAGGAAAAGCCCGTCTTTCTCCGCGACTACCACCGAGAAAAGCTTCTGCGGGGAGATATTGGAGCGGAAGACGACGACGAGCTACCCCAGACATATGAACAAGAACAAGAAGCAGCCAAGAAGGAATTTCTTTCCGGCGTGAAGGGCGCGGAGGCGCACAGCGACTCAGACGATGACGATGCGTTCATGATGAAGAAAAAGTCGGATGATGCGTCGGCCAAGTCTTCCAATGGCGTTCACCCCTCACGGTCGGGCAAGATCAAGATTTCCGGGCCTGATATTGGCAATGCCGACAAGGACCCCGAGACCTTCCTGTCCAACTTCATGGCCGCCAGGGCCTGGGTCGGCGAGGAAGGCGGCCGCTGGAAGGCCTTCGAGTCTGACGACGGCGAGGAAGATGACGGTGCTGACGAGTTTGAGCAAGCGTACAACATGCGCTTTGAAGATCCCGAAAAGAGCAAAGAGGTCCTGCGCTCGTACGCGCGTGATGTCACCAGCTCCCGCTCCGTGCGCCGCGAGGAAGTCACGGGCCGCAAGCGCCTGCGCGAGCTCCAAAAGGAGCACAAGGTCGAAGAGAAGAAGGGGCGCAGCGAGGAAAAGGCCCGTTTACGCAAGCTCAAGCTCGAAGAGGCCGAGGAGAAGCTGCGCAAGATCAAGCAGGCTGCCGGCGCGGTCGGCAAGGAGCTGTCAGACGCGGAATGGATGAGCTTCCTGGACGGCGCGTGGGACAATGACAACTGGGAGGAGGAAATGCGAAAGCGCTTCGGCGACGATTACTATGCCGTAAAGGACGACGACATGGTCGCCGGCGGCGCCGACTTGGATCCCGAAGACGCGGCGGCGGGACGGTTCTCCAAGAAGAGCAAGCCCAAGAAGCCAAAGTGGGACGATGATATTGAGATTAACGACATTGTGCCCGACTTCGAGAGCGAAGAGATTAAGGCCAAGTTTGCACTAAGCGACGCCGAGGAGGAGCAAGAAGAAGACGAAGAAGAGGCTGCCCCCGTCAAGAAGAAGCGCAAGACGGCCGACATAAAGAAAGAGCGCATTGAAGCCCAGAAGAAATCCAAGAAAGAGCGCGCCAAACTCGAAGCCCTCGTCGACGCCAAGATGGAGCTCACCGAACACGACCTCCTCCGCGACTCCGCCCGCCTCGCCTCCGCCTCCGCCTCCTCCCCCACCACCACCGCGGTCCAACCCTTTCGGTACCGCGAGACGTCGCCCCAATCCTTTGGCATGACGGCGCGCGACATTCTCCTCGCGCCCTCTGACAAGGTCCTCAACGAGTACGCCGGGCTCAAAAAATTCGCCTCCTTTCGCGACGACGAGAAGAAGCGTCGCGACCGCAAACACCTCGGGAAAAAGGCCCGCCTCCGGCAGTGGCGCCGCGACGTGTTTGGCAGGGATTACGAGCGCACGGGGCCGACGTTTGGCTTTGAGCGGTTTGCTGAGGAGGGCGGGGCCGAAGGCGAGGGCAGTGGTTCGCAGCAGCAGCAGTGGAGGAGGGGAAAGCATGAAAGCGCCGGCACAGGCAACGTCGTCGAGGGCGCGCGTGAAGAGGGTGAGCAAGCGGGCAAGAAGAAGAGGAAGCGCTCCAAGAGCAAAAAGGTGGCCGAGACAGAAGCGTAAATAGTTCAACGTCTGTGGCATGCCTGTACTCTGTTTTGTCTTTCTCTTTTACCTCGTTGTCCACACTGGTTTTCATTTATCTCGCTCAATGGAGCAACTGTACATATAGCCTTAGAAACAGGAGCAAAGGTTCATTGCAAAGGGCGCATCAACAAATTTCAATCTCACTGTTCCATTCTGTCAAAAGATCTTCATTACACACATCGAATCTCTCTCTTGATAAAAAGCGTCCGAAAAAAGTTATTGGTATTTATTTAATCATCATATGCTTTCGAGTCTCTGAGACCATCCCACCCATCACCTCTCGGGTTCTTCTTCTTTTTCTTCTTCTTTATTTCCATTAATATATGAACAAGGGGGAATTCAAAATCAGTCCAACCTCTCTCTATCTCCCCCCTCCACCCAACCCCCCAAAAGCAATTCAAGAAATCCGACAAGTCGCCTGCCCACAGCGCAAATAGATGCGAGGGGGGAATCGAAGGATTGTGGACGCGCAAAGAGATATAAAGAGGGAAAGAAAGGAAACCTATGAGGCTGCGCCACCAGCAAACACAAACAAACTTCCTGCCCGAAACTGTAATCAAATGATATCCGCCCGTAATGTTTTCTGTAATGATATACGTGGTGATTTTTGAGAGAGAGCAAAAAACCACAAAAAGAATGGCATCTCTGGTCGAGACCTCCATTCATTCTGTTGACATGTTGCTCGCCGAAGCATATATGCTGTTGAAGGTTTACATGCCATGCTGCAGTCCACCACCCATGTGGTTTTGCGGCATGCCACTGCCGTTTGCGGGGTTGCCACTATTGCCCCCAGCAAAGATGCCGAACCCGTCCATGTTGCTACTGGTCATGTTCATGTCTTGATTCATCTCCGGTTGCTCCATATCGTATCCCATGAACCACGAGCTATCTGGCGCAGAGTTGAAAATATTCATTGTCGGCGCAGTCATGGGGTTCTGCTGCTGAGACGGATGTCGTTGCTGGTTCATGGCGGCATTCTCATTCTTTGGTGCAGCTGCCGAGCCTTGGCGCGGGTTGTGGGCACCGTTGGGCATCCCCTGCCATCCGTTGGTGTTTTCTTGCGGTGGCGCATTCATGCCACCTGGTACGATACTAAACATTTGCTGAGGAAGTCCGGCGTCTTGACCTCCCATGCCAAGAGGCACGATATCGGCAAAAAATGGCATCTGTGGCTGTGGAGGGTACGTCGCCATATTGTTAGGGCTGATGGGGGACATGCTGGACATGTATGCCTGCGATTGAGCAGGCATGCTATGCGCGTTGAATGACATAGGAGGCTGCGCATTACCAGGGTTCGAGAATTTGCGCTGGTCAACCTGCATGCGAGGGGTGCCGCCGGATTGGTCTGAAGCTCTGCAAGGGGTAAGCGCGGCAGAAGCTTGCCGCGCTTCAGGGGTAGGCTGATCTGTCTTGTTGGGAGGTGTGACACCAGTAGGGTTCTTCTTGAGAGAAAGTGTCTTTCGCTTTTGCATTGGTGTCTTACTAGGGTCTTTACCATCCACGGCATGGGAGGCAGGCGACAGGTTTTCCAGAAACTCTCCGACAGAGTGCAACTCTGGCTTTTGCTCCAAAACGGCATCCTCTCCACTACTGGTGCGTCTGGGCAAGTTTGGATCCATGGAATCAACGTTGGACACACCAGAAGGGTAGCGGTTAAACCAATCCGCGTACTGCAGCAGCGGTTGTTTACTTTGCATGGCGCCGTTTACACCGGGTCGTCGAGAGGCATCGTAGGCGTTCTTGTATTGGCGTCGAATGTCGTCCACCATCCAGTGGAACATGCCCCAGTACTTCATCATTTTCTTCAAGTATGTGATATTGATGGCAAGGTGGACCTCGGCGGCTGCTTTAAGCTTCGGGTTTCCAGAGACCATCCCGTATATCTGCACCGACGACGACGAGAAAGCACAATATCCTGCAAACGGTGCAGACACGAAGCACTGGCGTTCATCGGAGTCCTTTAGTAACTGAGAGATGCTGTTGGCTGCATGGAAGGTCTTGCCCGTCAGACGAGGGATGAATTCCTTTGGCGCTTCCGTGTTAGACTGGTGGCTGCTCATAGCTGCTTGACAAACGTAGAGCAAGCATTGATGTATAGTCATGTGCATAAACAGGTATTGAGCAGCGGTTCTCTCAGTGATTTGCAGTTCGAGGTTTTCCTTGGAGTATTGCAACTGCGCCGGCAGGTTGCGGAGCAGTTCTTCGGCGTCACGCACAAGCTTCGAGTATTGCGAGCGCTCATCCCACTGGGCGAATTGTTCTCGGTCTTTACCGCCGTGGTTGTAGTAGGTGACGATGCGGCCCCACAAAGCAAGGCCACGAATGAAGAAAGCTGACGGTCCCATGTTGCTGCGGACATCAGTATCTGCAGCTTGACCTTCCGCAGCGGGCGGTCCTGGTCTACCGTCGAGAAGTTCTGTTTGTGCGGGCATGTCCAATTGAAAGCAACGTTCGCTCACGGGTAGCGGGATGGTCAGAGAGTCGTCAGATATGAACATGGGGCGGTCTGTGCCAGACGAAGTAAATCGGTCCATCAGGAAGCAGGCCCACATGATGCGTCTCCGAATTTCTCGATCGACAAAGCTGAGAGACACTTTGAGTCCTTTGCTTTGAGGGTCATAGTCAAGGTCTTTGTGCAGCTGCAGAGCGTATGCCATGCGAATAGCTTGTCCGCCAAGTGCCCAACTCCGGCCACCGTGGCAAGTGCCGAACTCATGAAGGCCGAGTATTAGCAGACATGTCAAAATGGTCATGCTTGGCCACTCGTAGTGTTTGGTGCATATGTCTCTAGCGTGCTGTGCCCATTCCTCTCCTCGAAGGAATGGTCGCGATGTAAGTGGCAGTTTGGGATTCGTTGAGAATCTAGCAGATACAGCACAAACGGAGAGCACGAGAACGGGGGGCAGAGAGTTGCTCCTAAGTGAATATCAGTCAGTATATTCATCGAGCAAAGGGGCAATTTGAGGGACCGACTTTAGCCTGCGCATAAAGCTTGGCTTATGTAGTAGGTGATACGCTTGCCCGTACACGCTATCAAAGAAGACTTCGGCAAGGTGTTGTTGAATCTCTTTTGAGGGTAGGGCATCGATTCCTTCGCGGATTAGTTTGTTCTCTTCTTTTTCTTGAGAGTCGGCGGCCATGAGAGGAGGGGCGTCGCCGTTGCCGAATTTGGATTTGGACGCTCCATTCACCCAAGATTCAAGATCTGGAGAAAAGGCTTCATCGGCGCGGCGTTTCTTGGCGGCAACCTTGCTGGCGGCGGTGGTACCAGGTATTGCAGGTTTGACGACGGCACGAGTTACGGGAGCAAGGCTGTCCTGGTCGGATTTAGGAACATACTTGATGATGCGTTCCTCCATGCGCTTGAGCCGCTTGTCAAGCATGGCCATGTAGTCGGTGCGTGGCGCAGCCTTGCGACTGGTGACCTTGTAGACACAGGGTATTCTGGAGCGCAGGCAGTGTTTGCAGGCAGGTTTTTCACCAGAGCAGCGAATCTTTTTGCGGCGGCAGGCGATGCAAGCCAGCGGCAGACGCTTTCGATCCTTGCCGGCCTTTGTTTTGAGCTCGCTCCATGCAGGCGTCTCAGCTTTGTCGATCTTGCTCTTGCCGAGATCAGTTCCGTCGGCACGTCCAGCAGCGGACGAGCCAAAATCGTCGTTTGCATTGTCTCCGGCTGAGGCGTGGCTGGGAGAAGGCCTATCAACAGAGGCAGTTTCGTCGGGAATGGTGTCGATACCAGCAGCGCTAAAGGCAGAGGGGTCAATAGCAAAGCTAGAGTTGGGAGCTACTGTCAGTGAGTTCATATTGGCACTGCTCACAGAAGCCGGAGCCATGGTAGAATGAAGGGAAAAGTGATCGGAGCCAGAAGGGTCTTCAAAGGCAGAAGCGGACTGGTCCGTCATGCCCGACATGTTGGCATAGGCAAAAGCAAAGTCACCATACTGAGAGGGGTCCATGGCAGAGTTGAAGGGGCTTGAGCTAGGACCGTGAGAAAACGCGGAGCTATCGTTCATGCCTGGTTGCAGATGGGAATCGTGTCCAAGATGGGGGTGGGCAGCATGCTGGAAATGGGGTGGAAGATTCAGTAGAGGCTGGCCAGCGGACATGTTGCCGTGCGGCAGCGGGGAGAGGCCACTGGTGCCCCTACCAGAGTGGCAGAAGCGGAAGGATATGGCAGCAGCAGAGGCCGATGGAGGCAGTACGAAGGGCAATATTCATGCGTATGTCGCGACGAGCGAGGCGAATGACGATGACGGCGTCGGCGGCGGCGGCGACGTTTGTAGAGGTGTGTGGACGGGTCGCTCGAGAAGCGGGCGAGATCGATCGAGTAGTGCAAGACGGGTGCAGGCGCAGGCGCAGGCGCGAGCTGATGGAGTACAAGCGGCGGCAATGACAGCGTAAGTGCGCAGCGTACGTCGAATTAGTCGCGGAACTCGAGCTGGGGCGTCGGGTGGCCAAAAGTCTTTGTTTGAGTTGCGAGGCCGGAGGAACGGTGAGAGGGCGTGCGTGGGTTTGGCGGCAAGGCGCGGGCGGGGGGGCAGTGGTGGTCGCCAAGTCGCAGAATCGCCCAGAACCGCAGGATCGCAGCCGCGCGAGTAAAATAAACAAGGTTGACGAGAGCGACCTCCAGAGAAATAAGAGGTGACAAGGCGACGAGTGAAGAGAGACGAGAAGCTGGCGATGGATAATGGCGGTGGTGTGGTGAGAGGAGGTCGGAGGGGTGAAATGGTATAAGAGGCGAGATGGGATGGGGAGTCCAACGGTGGAGAGTCAAGGACAACGGTGGAGAGCCAAAGACAACGATGGCGGGTAGCGAGCGGATGGGCGTGGATTAGGATTAGGTAGAGGCAGAAAAGTAGGTAGGTTAGTTAATTTGATGGGCGTGGGCGTGGGATAGTCGAATGGGGTGGATGCAAAGTGGTGAGGGTGGTGGTTGCAGAGTGCACAGGCGAGTGGAGGGGGGAAGGCGTGCAGGTAGTTTAGTGAAGACTACTATTCCGTAGAGAGTTGGAAAGATGAGAGAGAGAATTAGTAGAGAGAGGAAGAGAAAGAGAAAAAGAAGAAAGAGAGACATTCTCGACACCACCGAGGACAGAATGACCAGGGCAGAGTGACCAGTAGTTCTGGCGGTACGGATTAGAGTGTTGCTAGACAATGTCCCATTTTGGAGGGTCCGGCGCAAGAACAGACATCGCCAGCGGATGAAATGACGGAAAGCCCCAGCGGTCGCCCCGGCCAAATGGCCTACCTACTTAGCAACTGGCCTGTAGTTACGAATAGTTTTAACAGTAAAAGCTATTTAGGTTAGATCAGGTAGCTGGTACCTTGTTCTGCCATCACTACAGGGCAGTTCTACTTAGGATGGCTGGGCTGGCGTCGTGTTGCTGTGGGTTTTTTCGGGGTCGAGGTGGTGTGCGGCGGGTGGAGCTTCCTAGGCGGGTGGTCCGCAGCATCTCTGTAGACTGTAATCCGTACCTTAGTACGGATTACCCAACTACCTACCTACCTACCTGGGCAAGCAAGCTTGTAGATTCAAGGCTGGCTGCTGCATGCAATCAACGAGATGAAGAACAATCAGACAAGATTGACAGTATTCGCCGGTCGCACGCAGGAGGGGCGGCTTACGGGGCGGTTTTCTATTAGTATATCGATGTATGTATCTGCAACGGCGACAGCCAGAGCGACGACTAGGGGTTGCTGGTGATGGAGGCGGAGACCCGTCGAGCATCAGCCAACCCGTTGGTGTTTGGAGTACATCGGTGTCTGGCTGGGGGTGGGCGTTAATAACAAACTGAAAAATGGAAAGTCGCAGAGGGGCGCCAGGATAAGGCGACTCACACATGCTGACACATTCACACATTCACACATGGCAGAGATCATGAATTGGCTCCAATGACCAACTAGCAGTTGGGTATCGAATACATGGGCAAATGAATTGTCAACGCCCACCTTGCTGGGATTCGCTGGCGCTGACATGGGCATGGGCGATGTGCAGGAAGGGGCGCGCGCCGGCTGGTGATGGCGCGGGTAGTGCGAGCAGGGATTCGTTGCAATGTGCATTGAGAGTCCATCTCTTTGGAACCCCGCCTATTCGTGAGAGGCGTGTTTGCGAGTCGAGGGAGTGTATCAAAGTCGGCGCATCACGTCTTGCACCCTGGCGCGTCGCGAAAGATAAGATGCGGCAATTGAAGGTTATGAAATATGATAATAATGTAGAGAGACATGAGAAATATACGAATTGCCCCAGATAATACAAGCAGGTAATAAAGGTTGCCAGGTACCGCAGTACACGGGTGATTGCTTTGTCAGTTGTCATTTTACAGCAATACAAATCAATCTGTTTTCTGCAAAACATCTCGCTACTCAAGTAAGCTGCGAATCCTTTACTGGGTACACCTACCTACGAATATCAGTAGGTGATTTGTTACCTAAATAGTGCGGGTGCCCTTCTTGCTTGCCTGCCAGATAGAAGAATTGCTTGCTGGCTGTCTTGCACGCAAGCCTCACGCAAGCCTCACGCAAGCCTGCTTCCTGCACAAGACGGCTGCAAGCCGAGGAAAAAATCGTCAGCCGCGGGGAAGACGGAAAATTTTTGCAGCTAATGTCTTTGAACATACTATGATGCCTTGAGAAGCAAGTGTCCATCTCGTCATACTGACCACCTCGTGTTTCTATTCGGATAGGCAGTTGGCAGACAGATGGTGATAGATTTACCTAGCCCCTTCTATTTCTGCCCCCAAAACCACCCCAGACCCCGCGGACCCTGGCAGCCCAGCGCTAGCCCGAGGAGCCCTGACAATAACAGCAGAGCCCTGCGAACAAGGCAAGGCTGGCTCTCTAGGTAGTTAAAACGTATGGTACCCGACAGACGAGTAACGCCACTTTGCCTGCGGGTAATTTTTTATTATTGACGAGCAAGGCCCCGTCTGGGGCTGGTCGGCGATTGACTGGCGACTGGCAAGACTGGCAAGACTGGGTTTTCCCCGTTGCCTATTTGTCTTACCCATGGCCATATCATGTCCAGGATTGTGGACCGCCACGACTGCCAGGCCAGACCAGGTTAGACTCTCCAAACTTGATGAAAAAAATGGACACTAAGAAACTGATATGGCCCTATTTGCCTGGCTGTGAACCCCCCTCCAAGACATGCCCCCCAGAAACTTTGCATTTGCATAGCGCCGCGGCTGCTGCCTCTGCTCCCGTAGGTCTGGCTGGTCGGCTGGCTGGCGTACAAGGCCGGCTGGCCCAGGGTCGAGGCTATCAGGTAATCACAGAAAAAGCCCAAACCAGGACCGCCATGCTCCTCCCATCCTTGACATGGCATCCCTCCACACCCCGGAACGCAGAGCCAAACCAGGCGCCGATTTGGCAACCTATGGTGGACACTGCCTGCCAAAGCAAAGCCCCCCTTGGCTCTACCCTAGCCTCTCCCACTGGCTGCGCCTCGCAACCAAGTTGTACCCAGTACCAGCACCACCACGACCAAAGCAGCTGGTTATGATTGATGACTGGACGGTGACGAGTTGAGCAACGCATCGATGGCATGATGCAGAGACATGACCCAGTCCATGATGCCAAGTGCCTTGCCTGTGTCTCCGCTGCCCGCGCATGCCGGCGCTTCGTGCACAGCGGAAACAAAGGAACCGGAAAAAAGGAAAAGAAGAGGATGAAAAAGTCTGTCTCGAAATACCCGACTGCAAACACTTGGCATCTTGCCTGCAACGGTTTTCTTAGCTGGCTTGCTCGGCTTCTTCCGTCGCGTCCAGCTTGTAATGCACGACTCGACCATGGATGTACATGCCTACCTCACCAGTGTAGAGCTGCCACTCAACGACAAGTCCCGAGATACGTCCGAGTTGCATCAGACCAACTTTCCCCCGAGACAACCATCTATCTAATGAAAGCTCATAACCAGTAGCCAACGATAAACTAAGAAAGCAAGCCAGTGCCCGGAATCTCTTCACCCGCACGTTAGCCTCTGTCCATTCGTGCTAGAACAACTAACTGTACGTATTGTTCTAGCGCCCTCGAGGGCCGCTAACAACTTTAGACACGCGCTACCCAAGGTTTATTCACTGGCAAGTAGCACATCACTGACCAAGCCCACCCCAGCTAACAACATATTGCATACCAGTGCAGTCTTAAATATTCCGCGCTGCTGCTGCTTTTTCTGCTGCTGCTATGATAGGAAATGGGCGAGAGAGTGAGCGAGAAAATTCACTCATCCGCCGCGACAATCTAGATTTTGACCCCATGTACTATATACAATGCTCATGATTCAGTGGCTGTCGATGCATCATGCGGCTCGCCAGCCACAGCGCAACGCTTCTGCAGTACAACCTCCCCCAGCTTTTAACTTTTTGCCTACGCGCCTCCAAGCAGTTTGAGGTAGGTAGGCAGTAAGTACCTACCTGTAGGTAGGCGGCAAGTACCAAGGTAGCGCATACCAAGACATGGCCATTGCATCACAGCACCACCAGACGACTATTACAACACCAAGCTCAAGTTTTTCTTCTTAAGCAAACGCTCAATTCCTTTCTTCTCAGCCCCAGGCATCGCCAGCCCCATTTAACGCCATCACCACCCAAATGCCACTTTTCTGTAACATCATCTAGTTATTACACTCTACTCCATCGGACATTTCGATCAACTTCTCCATGAGGTTCCCTGCAACCTGCGCTCGTCCTTGGCGGGCAGCCACAATATCGCCATTGGCCCGCCACTCGTCTGCGTCAACGCCCGCCTCAGCCATTTCGACTCCAGTAGACACTACTCCGTACTGTCACCACTTTATTAAGCCGCTCATCGCTCCAAGAACAAAAAAAATAGATCTGCTGTACGGATTCTGTTCCTTGTGAAGCCCTGTGGCAGTGGGCCGCTGAACGCAGCCACGCAGATTGGAAAAAATGACGAGAGGCAGTTCTCGGGTAATGCAACCAAATCAGAGACGACCAATTCGACCCTTGCTCTGCAAATTTCTGATGCGTCGCGAAACCGATGTCAGCACTTCGTCTTGCGACTGATTGCATCTCCATGCGGGCAAGCTCCTGTCCGCAGCCCGCGCATGCATGCCATTCTATTTACAAGCCTCGACCTCTTGCGACTC